ATGATATTTCTGATGCGGAGGTCCTTGATGATCTACCCAGCTTCAATGTCTTCCGCAACGACCGTCAGCATTGCCGGGGTGGCGGAGTACTCATCGCTGTTAAGGATACGTTGCCCTGTTTGGTTGTTGCTAACTCAAGTGACCTTGAAACCTTATGGCTGCTCTTTTGTTCAACTCCGCAAGTTAGCTTACTTGGTGTGTGCTACCGTCTCCCTAGAGCAAACAGCGAATTTACTGATAAACTGAACTGTGTGCTTGACACACTAACAAAAAAATATGCAAACGCGCAAGCTTTGCTATTCGGAGATTTTAATTTGCCTCATATTAAATGGAATGACAATCCACCGTCATAATGCTAAGTCGAAAACAGTTTTCTTGATGTTTGCTTCAATTATAACTTGACTCAGCTTGTGTCGGAAAATACGCGCGTCACACAGGACTCAGCCACCATTCTAGATCTCATTTTAACTAACAATTCTTCCAGTTTATCTTCAATGACTCTGCTGAAAGAAATTAGTGACCATAAAGTGATTCATGCCGCTTTTGCTTTTGCCTTTCCGAAACGAGAATCATGGGATAAAACAATACGCTTGTATGACAAAGATAACTACGACGCGATTAACAACGAACGTATCTCCTCCTACCCTGTCTACTGTTCCGAATTCCACAACCGCACACTTCAAGATAATTGGTCGATATTTCATAGCAAACTTACTGAACTTGCTTCTAAACATATTCCTGTTATAACTGTCCTGGCCAATCATCACAAACCATGGTTCACAAAAAAGTTAAGAACCCTTAAAAACAAGAAGAAAAGGCTATTTCGCTCCACAAAGCAACACAATTCCCCTGTGACGTGGAGTAAATATTATGAGGCAGAGAAAAACTACCTCTTAGCTGTTAGTCGCGAAAAATGTTCTTTCTTTCATGATACCCTACCAAGTGTATTAGATAACAACCCCCGAAAATTCTGGCGAATCTTGCAACCCAAGGTACCTGAAACTATCAACCTCACAGATCATAATGACATAATGATCACTGGCCAAGAGTGTGCCAATGCATTTAACGTCGCGTTTTCATCTGTCTTTACTACTGAACCTGCCACTCCTTGTCCGTCACCGCCTGCATGTTTACACTTTGTCATGCCACTCATCGAATTCACCGAAAATGGCATAATGCTAATAATCGAAAAACCAAAGTTATCATCAGCACCCGGGGTAGACGGTCTCAATTCGAAACTGTTAAAAAATACAAGACATGTGTGCGCATCTTACTTGAAACTAACATTCACCGAGTCACTTGAAACTAACACTTTCACTTGGAACTAACATTCACCCGCTAACTAAAAGCGTAGCACTGCCAATGCACAACGCATAGTTCTTTTATTTTCGTTTGGAGTTGGGGGGGAGGGAGCTCACCTGTGCATTCGCCCGCGGCGGCGAGAACAGCGGCTACGCCGGCTCGTGGGGCGCAGGCCCGCCTGCTTGCTTCGCACACACCCGCGCGCAATAACGAGCGCTCACTCTCGCCTTGTGCGCCGTGCGCGCCGCCACTGCATTGCGCTTCGTCGACAATGGAACAGCCGCGGAAGATGCACGCTTGCATCAAAATGGCAAAATGCAGAGCAATATTTCTAGATTGTCCGTGAGGAGAATTCGTTATATCAAGGTCGTCTCCAGCTGTTACTTTGTTACACAGAGGTCGCGAATACATGTGCTTCTATGGAGCGACGGCGGGGACTTGAAAGACTTTGTTATATCAAGGAATTTGTTATATGGAGGTTCGTTATGAGCAGGTTTAACTGTACTGCCGTGTCACGTTGTGCACTGTGTGGTTGTGAGCGTTCATTGCAGTTTTATTTTGCTGTGGTTCTTGTTATATTGTTGCCTATGTGTTTATTTCTTGTGTGTAATTTATAATCATGATATGGCAGCTGTATTTTCGCGTCTCGCAGTGCAATAAACCTCTCTTTGTACCTGCTTTATCAAACATTGAGAAAGTGTGCATCTGCTTACGAAAAATATCACTTCAAAATAAAAGTTCTTGCTCCTCCAATGATTCTCATGTTTTAATTACAGTCAAACCTCAATATATCGAACATGGATATATAGAATTATTGCCTGTATCAACGGCTCCTATATCACGTGGGAAATCGCATGCATTATTGATTTTTTATTTCGAACAAAGTTTGACATGTATTGGATATATCGAACTCAGCCACCCCAAACCGCCCGCGCTCCATTGACAGGCGGCGAGCTTTCCTGCAACTCTCGAAAGTAGCGGTAGAGCGGCGGGCGTTTACGAATGCTGCACACATCGATGGCACCGAGAGCGCCACTTTAACGTAGCGGCGTACGCGCGCCGCAGCCTTGCAGTTTGCAGTCATTGCAGTCTCTATGGTGTCAACGGCACACTGCGCACTTGTTGCAAGCTCCTCCCCCGTAGCATCGGCAGGAATCGGTCGTTGTGCTCGCAGTGTTCGTGCGTTCGGAGTTAGGCCTGTCGCGCGCTGTGGTGCGCGACAGGCCTAACTTTCGAACGGCGGAGCTCACAACGGCATAGCTCACGGATGTGGAGATTGTCGCCGAAGCTACTGCTGAGCAGCCAAATGAAGACTCTGCGGAGGTGGATCCCGCAAGCGCTGATGGTGCCCCGCGCCCGACATCAGCTGAGGTCGTAGCTGCCTTGGCCCTGCACTGCGGCGCGATTGAAGGCACCGGCCTATCACTTATGGATCACCTGGACTATATTGAGGACGCAGTCATGCGCGACAGGCCTAACTCCGAACGGCGAAGCTTACAACGGCGGAGCTCACGGATGTAGAGATTGTCGCCGAAGCTACTGCTGAGCAGCCAAATGAAGACTCTGCGGAGGTGGATCCTGCAAGCAATGATGGTGCCCCGCTCCCGACATCAGCTGAGGTCGTAGCTGCCTTGGCCCTTGTGCGCCGCCACTGTGGCGCGATTGAAGGCACCAGCCTATCGCTTATGGATCGCCTGGACTATATTGAGGACGCAGTCGTCAAACACGCCATGGCCAACAAAAAGCAGTCTACTCTTTTTCAATATTTTAAACCAACACAATAAATACTATGTTTGAATCTTCAAGTGAGTATTTACTGCACCACGCTTGAACGGTTCGTTGGTTGTTTTCAGCAAGCTGTTGACGTATTTTTTTCGTGATTTTTTTATATCGAATTCTGGATATATCAAACTATTTCGCGATCGCCGCGCCATTCGATATATCGAGCTTCGACTGTAAATTGTGTGCATAGACACACAATGACCTCGTGTGCTTGGCACTCTAGCGGTGCAGCTTACACGAAGCTCATCGATGCATACAAACGACATGTAAAAAAAAATTAAAGTATGGCCTCAGAGATGAGCACACACACGTAGAAGTGGTCTAGGAGGCTGTATAATAAATTTAGTCACTACAATATGGCCTTCCAGACAGTCTTTTCGGCGGTCTGCCATCTCTGAGGCTGCAAAGTTTCACCCCAGCCGTTAGGTGCGCTGCGAACCGAAATCAGCCGCAGGGGTCTATGGAAGTGACCTCTTTTGGCCTTTTATATTGCCACCATTGATGAACGAGCCGCTGTGACTGATACTCGTTTTGGGCTGCGAAGAAGAAGAGAACATTTTCGTTGCTCTGGTTCAGGTGAACTCCTGGCTGTAGGTCTTGTTTTGCTCGTGACATTGCCCACGCAGGCGGCGGCTGCTTCTTGCTCTGGGAGATGTAGCTGTCTCCAAGATGGCCGACACAGCCGAAGTACACGTACCCAGCACCTCCACCAGTAATGTCACGAGCAAAACAAGACCTACAGCCAGGAGTTCACCTGAACCAGAGCAACGAAAATCTTCTCTTCTTCTTCGCAGCCCAAAACGAGTATCAGCCACAGCGGCTTGTTCATCAATGGTGGCAATATTACTACTCTATGGAGAGACCCTTTCCGGCGCGCACGTGACTCGGCCTCCCCGATTCTTGCAACCCCCAAGAACACGCACCGCACCCGCATGTGGCACCGTCTATCGCCCCGCGCCGTTACCAGAGCAGAATTCATACATGGTTTTAAAGGGACACTGAAGAGGTTTTGAATTCGCGAAGCTATTGCAAATTCGGTATCCGTGACCTCTTACAACATGTCTACAGAGGTTTTTCACAAGGTTCGATCAAACAATGGCACTACAAGCGAGCAAACTTTAACGACAGAAACGCCGCCCCCGGCATGCGCGCGTGCAAAGGCGGAGCACGGGAGAGATAAACACACGGGGAGGTGACGCTACCGTCAGGGTCGAGCCCCCGCCCACTGGGCAACCTGCACCGAGCCACATGCGTTGCTCAGCCTGCTCAGCTTGTTTACTACACGGTTGTGCCTTGTTCCTGCTACGATCTTCTGCCTGGCAAAGCATCAGTTTTTCCAGTTTGTAGGGGTTTCTTGCCATTGCACCATTCTCTTCTTCTGATTAAAGATTTTCACCATCCGATATTTACTAGTTCTGCTTGTGCAAAGTTGAAGTGGACTCGCAATGCTGAATCACTGCGCGGCATATGGCTGCTCCAGCACTTACGTTCGCGATGAGGTCACTTTTCACAAGTTTTCTCGTGACCAGAAGATGGCTACGAAATGGGCCGCTGCAGTTAAAAGAATATACTTAAAACCTACGAGATGAAGCGCGCTGTGGCAGTCGCGAATCTGCCGAATTTCGAGGCAGCAGAAGCACACCTCCTCTTTCCGAATTTGTATGCAGTGCGTGCGTGAGCCCGTATGGCAAAAACACGTGTATAAAGATATTCCTCCCCCCCCCCCCCTCCCACTCGTGAAAAAGTTGGTACCCCACTGATGGCCTCTGAGATGGCATTTATGTAAAAAAAATTAGGTTCACTTGCATTTTGTTGTTGTCGTTGTTAGAAAAGCTTCGCGGAAGCGGTGGTTAGCTAGTGCACAGCTGTTAATACAGAACACCATTGGTGTAGGCCGTAGCACATAGCACACCCACCTGAGCCCCTCGCTCCAGCAGGAGCTTGACCACGTGTGCCTGTCCCTGCCAGGCGGCCGACTGCAGGGCAGTGCGTTGGTCACTGTCCTCTGCATCAACGTCTGCTCCGCGGCTGAGCAGCAGCTCAACCAAGTCGGCATGGCCCTGCCAAGCAGCCACGTGCAGTGGCGTACGCCCTTCGAGATCGCCAATCTCGGGGTCGGCTCCGCGAGCCAGAATGTAGTCTGCCATGTCCACCCGGCCCTCCAAGGCAAGCACATACAGTGTTGAGCGACCATCTGCATCCTGGTAGTTGACGTCCGCATTGTAACTAAGCAGGACGTGCACCTGCATAGGATCAGATACAAGGGGAGACCATCTGGGATTGGCAAAGCTCTACTCTTCAAGAGCTGGCTAGCTGATGCATTGTTCATACAGTTCACAAGGCACAAGACAAAGTGCTGGCATTCTGCAAATTAAGCAAGACTGCAAGCAAATGAAAGTATTTTATCACCATTACCGTGGTGAGTTAGTACAAAGAAGGACACATATCTAAGCAATGCACATGGGCAGCCTATTCAGTCCTATCAAACTAAAGAAATAACCCAGTTTTTACAACACACCAACATATTTTGACATTCACATTTCCCCACAACATATAACCAGTTGGAATTCACGCTCAACAGCTGTAGTCGAATGCCCAAAGGCATCATCTTTTTACATGCCTTTCAATCTCTAAAGCACAGCTCTGATGTACATGAGCTTTAATGCTTATTAGTTGCATTTTCCTGAACACAAATTTACTAAACAAGCTTTTTCCTGAAATCTTCCCATTTAAGTACGTTGCTACACCTCCTCGCATGTGTTTACCAAGCCATTTTCTATGTATTCGAAGTTAGTTCTAACTTGTAGCCTACTTCTGCCTTGAGAAAGCTCACCAGTGCAAGCGCCCATGGTGAATACAGGCGCACTTCGAGAAGCTCCATGTCACAATTTATCTCGGGAACGCTTGCAAGCGACTGGATTGATAGACGGGAGACTTGTGTGGCAAAACAAACCCCCTTTATCACAACAAAAAATGAAAGTGAAACCAAACACTTATGGACACAAAATTACCCAATAATAGCACAAGGAAAACGTAATGTAAACCATTCTCAATCTGTTCCTAGCCCTAGCCCTGTTCCTAGCCCTACTTCTAGTCAAATATGACTTCTCAACGATTAAACGTTCTTACAGTTTACGTCAATTTCTCTTCGTTGCCATGTCGACGGTTTGTAGAGTACTTCGTTGACGTCCTGCTCAGCTTCCTACGGTTGGCGTCGGTTGATCTCGCCAAACGAGCAGCTCTTCTTCATCGCCGGTGTTCTGGTCTTTGTCGCAGACTTCAGCCTCGCTAGGCTAGGCTTAGCTCGTCATGGACTCTCTTGCTGACGGGTACACCCTGCAGACTGGTGTGGGCTGCTACCACCCTGGCGCGAAGTGAAATAGCTGCAAGACCACCATTAACTGCTGTGCAAGGATGTGACAAATCCAGGTAGCCTCATTCGGGACCTCCGAGATCGACGGCCACTTTTTGGACCTCTCGCGCCAACAACCTTCACAACCAGGCGGCTATGCTTCTCCCATCGCTGTAGCAACACTAATTTCCCATGTCTTCGCAGCTCAAAGCCCCAAAGCACAGTGACAGCTCATCCTTCGAGATTTTTCATTACGGCTCGGGTAGCATGCCACGAGCCTGCTTGTCCAATCTTGTTTCTCGACGTGACGCTTATGCGCATCATCGGGGGTCTCGCGCACCAACACCACATTTCAGAGCATGGCACATGCCTTGTGCCCTCTTACTCATGACAATATAGCATTTCCAAATTTGGTCAGATTTACACGCAGTTTTCAGCACTGCATCTATTTTTAGTATATGGAGACATATTAAGGACATATATATTGCTCAGGCTTTCATGTTTTTTTTTTTTACAATCCAGCGACAAATATTCAGAAAAATTGTATTTTTTAACATCTCGCTCTTTCTTTTTGTCTCCTAAAGAATATAGATTAATTTTCTAAAGTTTGTCCGCAACGTTTCCTCTCATTTTCTTTCCTTCTTGTTTCGATATAATGGTCATGCTTATTAAGCCTCGGGTTCGCATTTTACAGGCTCCTAAAAGGCTGTGCGTACATTCAAGGTGAGTTTAAAATTTGCATCAAATTTAACTGGCACAACGTGGCTCCACCTGGTGCAACCTATGATTGGTGATCCTACACTGTACCACTAACGTCTGAAATGGCACTGTATTTTTGCTCAGAGACAAGAAGGAGGCACTCAGTGAGCTTGAGGAAGCTTGGGTGTGTGTGTCTGCTTTTGTTGTTTTGCTTTTGAGCAGGGGGTCCAAACAGAAAGAAGTGTTTCTACAGAGTCGTGACACCGTTTCGGCTACCCGTAGTCCCTGTAAGTAGGTTGTACAGAGACACTTGGTGTTCAGAGATTGTTCCCTGCCAGTAGCTAATCATTCTGTTTTGTGCCTGCACTTGATGGGGTGGCAAAAAGAACAGTCGTGGAACCTGCAGCAAAAACTACTTTGTTTTGGAGCACAACATCGTGGCTGTTATATAAGAAGCCCGTAAAAGGATTTTTCGGCTATAAAAGCGCTAGTGCAAACTGGTTCTTCTAGGTGCCAAATGCACATGTGTAGATAAGAAAAAGCTTTGTTTTTTGAAAGCAAACAAAGCTTCACTGTCAAGTGCATGACTGAGCAGTCACTGTCAAGTGTATGACTTCTGGGGGTCTCTAAATAGGAGAGCCACACTCCCGGAACACATGGACACAGCAGAGCAACCAAAACAAAACATTTATTCACTACCTTAACAAATAACAACACATACTTTTCGCAATGTAATAGCTTGGGGTGTTAGTGCTGGGACATTCACCGGAAACTGGCCCTGTCTTCGCACTTGACCACCTCCGATGTAACTTATGAATATTATAGTACTTCATTTTATTTCTGGGACAAACATTATCCTCACTTGTCGGTAGAGAAGTTCTTTTTTTTTTTTCATTTGCCATTTTGAATTTTCAGATGCTAGCCTAGCAAGCATGCTGTATGTAATACACTCAAACCTCATTATAACAAAGTTGCATCTTACACGAAAATAAGTTTGTTATATCCGTAAATTCACTATGACAGTTTATTCCTACCACTGTGTTTATTGCAAAACTATTTTCGTTTACTTTGTTATAAGCAATATTTCGTTATATCCGGTTTCATTATATCGAAGTTTGCGTGTATATAAAACAGAGAAAAGTGCAGAATATAATAATAAAATATAATAAATGTAATGAAACAGTAAGAATTATATATATCTCTCATCTTTGAAATGTGATGTTCTCAAAGTAGCCATTTCATCTACTCACCTATGTTGCCTACAAGGAGGATTTAAAAAATTGAAACTTTTTTACTCCTCCTTGGTTGCCTGGATGGCGAAGAAGCAGATCAAACTGTTCCAGAGATAAAACAACGCTAGCCGTGCCAGAGATGAAAAAAAGCTTCATTTTTTTAAACGAACGGTTGTTTTTCGCCATAGCTAGCTGTGAATTGCTGTGACACGGCTTCTGAATAAAAAAGAAGGTGCGGCCTGTTGCATCATGTCGCCGTCAATAAGCTAGTGCATCTCCACCAAGTTGACAGTTGCAGATGCTTTTTTTGGTGAGGGCGCTAAAACTCCACTCATCAAAGCGGACGACACTTCATGTTACAGTGTTGATTGATTGATTGATATGTGGGGTTTAACATCCCAAAACCACCATATGATTATGAGAGACGCCGTAGTGGAGGGCTCCGGAAATTTCGACCACCTGGGGTTCTTTAACGTGCACCCAAATCTGAGCACACGGGCCTTCAGAATTTTCGCCTCCATCGGAAATGCAGCCGCCGCAGCTGGGATTTGAACCCGCGACCTTCATGTTACAGTGTGATTGCAGGAGGATTTGTGCATGTCCATGCTCTTTCTCGCGATTTTTTTGTTTGTGATCGTGTATGGGGGGTAGCGAGCCTTATGTTTCCTGTGCTCGAGTACGATTCGTTGGTGCAGGCATGTGTGACGGGTGGTTTCTTTAGTGGTGTGACGCCGCAAAAGAGTTATGTGCCACTGAGCAGCTGGAACGCGAGAAAAAAACGCTTCTGCGAAGTACGACATATTGCCCTGCAAACTACTGTGTCAGAAAGCATATCGGGATGCGTATTATTCGTAACAGAGCACTTTTGTCACAAGCGAGCGCTGAATTGGACAAGCACCAGCGCTTCCAGATGACAGCATCAAATCACTGTGCCAACCGCTCCGTTCCAGGTGTGTACAACAAAACAAGAACCATATTTATTCAAATCTAGACCGATAGTTTTTCAAATTTCTTTGCATCGAACTCCAGGGTCCACTTAGATTCAAGGATTTCAAAAAACACGCCGTTTTTCATGGAGAAAAGTGGTACACAACTAACGCCGCCTAGACGAAATTATAGCTGTTAGTAGCCAAGCCAACACTAGGCTTAAGTAACACTGTATCAGTAACACGTGTGCTGTTTTTAGCGTGTCAACACTGTTCTTTATGCCACTTGGAACCACAAAGACATGATACAAGGGGAGAGGCATCAGGAGAGAGGCCCAAGTGGCTATCGCACAATCCCAGAAAAGGTGTCTGTGTTTCCTGTGCAGTCGGACGTGACTTGCGAAGTGGGAGCGGCTCAAGCTGCCCCAGACATGTGTGTTTTACGAGAAGCATTTTGAGGACATCTACTTTAAAGAATTTTAAATGCTAAATCGGGCGTTCTCGCCAACGAGATAGCCAGAGAGAGACCCCGCCTGAATCCTGTTGCACTACCAATGGTATTTGACAACTACCCTGAACACCTTCAGAGTAAAAAGGAACCGAAAAAGAATGTATGGAATATATGTGACCATACATACCATCGCTAAACGGCAAATGGCAGTGCCGTTACAAATGTCAGCAGTGGGTCATCAAGCACGCACTTCAGAGCGTGCGTTGCAGTCCAACGTGCTTCAAGCTCAGTGCTCAGCCACGCGGCTGTGTTCATATCACCGTGCTTCAAGCGCAACACCCAAGTTTTCAATCCTTGCGACATGGACTATGTTGACCGAAGCGTAAGCAGGCTATATTGCCTACGCGCGCTATTGCACAGAAAACAACAACATTGCTGCGCTATTTATTGAAATAATGGTGATGTTTGAAGCTGTGATGCCCTACGTGGTTCAGTACTGACTACAGCTTATTTCCGTGGAAAGAGAAGTGGCAAGCATGTGCTTAGGATAACAATTAAAACTGAAGAATTTGCCAAAATTTTCCTCTTCACTTAGACTCACTCGGACCCAAACTCACCAAAATATTACTCACCCGAACTCACTCAGACTCATGACTAGATCTGAGGTTGAGCAAGTCGACTCACAAGTGAGTTTGCCAACCTATGGTCATAATTCTACACTACAGTTAAAGGCCCCTGATGCACTCATTGGCTTAATTAGGTGGCATCCAACAAAGAATCCATTCCCCTTTTGTTGCAACATGGTTACCAGAAGACTACGTAGCAGAGACTTGGGTATGCATGAGCGCACTTACAGTTTCCTTGTGTCCTTCGAGGGCAGCCACCCGAAAAGCGGTGCGGCCATCGTGAGCCCTGTGGTCCACCAGCGATGGCGGATGGCCTCCAAAGTCCAGCATGGCATGCACAGCCTGTGTGTGTCCTTCTTGTGCTGCCAAGATGAGTGGTGTACGCCCCTCATTGTCCGTCTCTGAGGCCTGCGCACCGGCCTCCATGAGCAGGGTACACACCTCGGCATGACCCTCCAGGGCCGCATAGTGCAGTGGTGTCCAGCCCGCATTGTCCCTGCATGTGCAGCATCATCACCTTGGCATCCGCATGAAACTCTAACAATGTGACCAATTAGTTTGCCATAAATGATTATCTTTCAGCTTACAATGTAGTCAGACGAACATTGCCATTGTTTATATAGCTTTATTTTTGCATAATTATTAGCATGCGCAACAATGCAACGTGTGCAATTTTTCATACACTCCTGCATATGATAACTTATTCTTTGCATGAGTACTCCACATTGTATGTGACACTTTATGCATGTTTCCTTCTACATGTTTTCAAGCTATATCATCACTTCCATTGATGGCACCAGCGCTTGTGTGGAAACTGTTGCTTCAGGTGGGACGACCCCATCAGGCATTAATGCCTCTTGCCCTCCCTTTACCAAGCGTAACTTTGAACACTTGAATAACAATACAAAGAAGGGACACCTTCCCACAAAGCAGCACTTACAAATTCTACGTTCAACTTTAACTAGGGGTGGGCAAATAATCGAAATTTCAAACATTTTTCAATAGCGTTTGCTATTCGACTCAATTCGTACTGAAATATTTCTATTCAAACTTCCCAAAAATAAATACAGTCGTCCCATTAAAATTAAACCCTGCTGCTTCAAATTTTTAATGTGCTTCACCTCATCACACTCGTATTGCAGCAAAGTTGTCTTTCAGGCTCTGCTACGTTCAAAAACGTATTGACTTAGGAAAACGATGGTTCCAACATGGACATGATACATGTGGTGATAACACAGTTATTGCTATTTTGGACTTGAAATTTATGCAGGAAAGCCAAAAATAGGACACAAAAAATTTTGAGCATCCAAAATTTTAGATATTCTTATATAGTAAAAAAAAAAAGAGAGTTTGAACTCCGCATTCGAAGGTAGCACACCCTTGCCTTCTCCATCAGTTGGGCTTCCAAAGAAGTTGAAAGAGTAGGAGAGGCTTTTCACCTGTAAAATGTTGTCGGCAACACTTTGGCTGCAACAAACCACGTACATAAATCCAATCAGGGCTATGCGTTGCCGCATTTTTGATAAGGCGAAACACCCATCCCTCCAACGATTCATTAACCTAGCCAAAAGAAACACTGTCATGTTGCTGCATCATGGGGACATCCTAAGGAATCCGCTCACTTTTTTTTTTTATTCTACAATTTAGCTTCACGGTATTCGAAAAAAAATGTAAAAAATATTTGATTCGATTCGCACTCATACTTCAATATTTGAATTCGCTTCCCATTGATAATTTTGCCATTCGCACAGCTCTAGTTTCGACCTTTCAGGGAACTTTTTCTCTGAAAGCTCATCCCAAAGCACTGTATACATTCATGGCAAAACTAAGCTACACACTTTATTTTTAAACACAGGTAAACTTACTGCCACATCTGCGACACAGTTATTACACCTTAAGAGATGCATTGCAGGGAACTTCTTATGAAGGCTTGAAATACTTCATCATTAAAAAGCACTTGTAGCTGGGCAACAGCATTATGGTAAAGCATGAGCTAGTTAATTCAACACTAATTAATCTGGATAATCAAATGATTCAGGTGTGTTCTCTGGCCTTGGCCAGCATATGCATTGTTTAATGGCATCAAACTTTTGATTAATTCGTTAATACTAGGCCTCAACACGGTTGCTTCGGATAATACTCGGAGCGCGCTAAGGGCAAAACACCACACATGTACAACACAAAAGAACAAAGCCAGCATTTTAAGACAGCCAACACGGTCCCGAGCTTTCAGAAGTGCGTGGTCACTAGAGGCCCGATTTTTGGGCACTAAAAAAGTGTGTTTTAGACACCAAAGACAGGCAGGTAAAACACCGTTTTAGGCCCTCAAAATCAAAATATGGGCACAATAAATTTCTACAAAAATTGAAATATCTCAAAACAACGACGTCGGTGACTTGTATCTACAGCAAGAAGCAAAAAACAATAATATTGTTTAAGATAGCATGACGGTACCAATGATTGAACATCGGCATAAATTTCCCGCGCGATTCGCAGTATGTAGTTTTTTGTTTTATTGTCTAGCATTGTGTGTCAAGTGTCCTCCATTCAATTAACACTCTCCTGGGTCTCTTTCATTTCGTTGAGGCTGGGAAGGACAGCGCAGGAGCAAATAACCATGCCCCAGAAGAGAGGGATGCTAGGTCTAATCGCGTAGGACCAATTTCTCCCTTGTCAGTGAACAACTTAAAGGGCCCCTCACTAGGTTTGGGCATTTCGAGCTGACAAGCGCAATGGTGCACTGGGCACTCCAGATCATTTTTGTTAAGATTTGCAAAATTACATGTCGCGGAAAAACACTCAACTTCTAATGAATGCCACTTGCCCTTCTCGCAGGCGTACGCCCCAAGACCTAGGGAGTGACGTACAGCAAGGAATAGTCTTGTTTTTACATTACTTCTTTACGCTGACATTGGTGGGCTGACGTTGCATACCATAAGCTCTTCATCAGATCTTTGTTAAATGCTAGCTATATGTAAAAAAACATGAAAAATGTCCTGCCTCCTGATTATATCCTCCATTTTAAACGGTACCTCATTAAGAGCGTTCCACGTGACATTACTCTACTTGGCATGTACAATTTCTGTGTTCTGTTGTGTAGCATGAATGAGGAGTTTTTTGGTTTGGGCCAGCTGCTTCATATCATTTTGAAAGGGAAGCGCAAAGACAAAGGGAAAAGAAAGACAGCACTCTGTCTTTATGTCTTTCTTTTCCCTGTGTCTTAGCACTTCCCTTTGAAAATCTGTACAATGGATGAAAGTTGAGAAAAATAATAAGAATCGCAAATGGAATCTCAGCTTGTTATTACTTTCATTTTTGTTTTGAATAGCCTCGAGGTGCTATTCACTAATCAGCCCTCGTTTCGCGTCCACTTTGGTGGACCAGTCGCTATAGGGTATTCTGCTGCTGACCCTAATACCGCGTGTTCGATTGTGGCCTCGGCGGTCACACCTAAATTGAGGTGAAAGAACAGAAGCCCGTGTACTGCGCGATGTCAGTGCACTTCGAAGAACACCAGATCGTGAAAATTTGCCAAGACTTCCACTACGGCATTCCTCATATTCATATCGTGTTTTTTTTTTTTTAATGTAAAACCACATATACTACCACTGCTGCTACTACTACTACTACTACTACTACTACTACTACTACTACTACTACTACTACTACTACTACTACTACTACTACTACTACTACTACTACTACTACTACTACTACTACTACTACTACTACTCCATTTTGCTTTAATGCGTTGGTCTTCTCGTCGTTCCTGCATCGTGCCTTCACCAACCCTGACAACGCTTAGCTTGTGTTTGGTGCGTCGTCTCTGAACGCAGTTTCAGCAGAGTAACGTGGTGTATCGCGGTCACAATACATGTTCCTTGCCAGCCTCTCCTAAAGTGCACGCACTGACTGATCTATCCCACAGAAACTGTAAATACACAACATAGAACGCTGAAACGACACAACATCGATGGCGTGTGTGCACGAGTAGGCTGGGCCCTGTCATGCACACATGACCTTGCTTACGCAAGATGTTCTTGGTGCGTATGCATCACGTGGTTGTCCAGCCCCGATTCCGAAGAGAGCAGGGAAGAAATTAGGCTCGCGATGGCTACATGGGACGAGAGGCAAGGGATTCAGGCTTGCTTCTTTGCATTATACTTTGGTGGCTCGTAGCAAACCAGTTTGAACAATCACCATAGTAGGACGCTTTTCATTGGGCATGCAAGAACTTATAGTGTCTAACTACAACTTATTACGTAGGCTAGAGAGGGGTGCTTAAAAAGTAAATTACAAACAAAACAAAATCCGCGTGCACATCACACTTTTTACCCGAAGGAGCTACAGCAGATGTGTTACAATGTCAAAGAAAACATGCCTTCATTGGCACAACACACTTTGTTCTCTTTATAAGCAATTTCTATTCTGTCATAAAAGTACCAAAAAACGAATTAATAGAAATATTATATCTCATACGACATTCTAAGATCTTAATTACCAGTGCCGAAGAGGACTTAGGTACATTCGTTTTCAAATGCGAGTTTTACCATGAAATGAGCTTTAACCGCAGTTAATTCGACGCGGTGATGGTGATTCCCATCCTAGTTCATTTTTCAAATTGTTACAGCTATCAGTTTATTTATTTATTTATTTATTTGAAATACCTTACAGACCCAACAGGGCATTGTATAAGGGGAGCATAAAGGGAATACATACATGATTCTGAACAAACAATAACATGAACTAAATGTCAATTATAATACAAATCCTAACAGGAATAAGAATGAGAAAATATTAATAATAAATTTAATAGGAATAGAACGGCAATGAACATCAGATGAGTATACGCGTGAGATAATGATTTAAAACAAGCTAAATAAAACAAGCACAAATTGTGAATATACTTTCCATTATTCAGAAGAAAACATCACTGAATAAAACACAACAGAACTGAATGGCATGTTAGTATTCAAACCATCAAACAAAATAAGTTTAAAGTAAGAGAAAAAAAAGCGAGATACTAGTAGAGGATAAACGCGTAGGTGCCGATTTTGATATGAATAAAACGTGCAGTTAATCTCGTAAATGGGCGAGTAAAAGGTGCCGGAATTTTTCCCGATTGCGTTCTGCAACGATCTCATTTGGAAGGCTGTTCCACATGCGGATGACACGGGGGAGTGCAGATGAGTTAAAAATGTAAGTTTTACTGTATATGCGCGTGAATGAAAGATGATTATTTAGTCTCTTTGATGTGAATGCAGATGTTTGCAATGTCAATGATAATGGCCTTGTTTCATGTGCGTATTTATGGAATAATGATAGGAGGTTTAGATCACGTCGGCTGCTCAAAGTGGAAAGTGATAAGTTTATTTTAATTTGTGTTATGCTTGCGCTATGGTCGTAGTTTTGTGAGATGAATCTAGCGGCTCTATTCTGGATCGATGCCAGCATGTTAGTTAAATAGCTGTAATGAGGGGACCAAACTGCAGAAGC